CCAGTTATAACACTGTCTCCACCTGCACTTCTAATGTTCCAGTTATAACACTGTCTATATTTGCACTTCTAATGTTCCAGTTATAACACTGTCTCCACCTGCACTTCTTATGTTCCAGTTATAACACTGTCTCCACCTGCACTTCTTATGTTCCAGTTATAACACTGTCTATATTTGCACTTCTAATGTTCCAGTTATAACACTGTCTCCACCTGCACTTCTTATGTTCCAGTTATAACACTGTCTATATTTGCTATTCTAATGTTCCAGTTATAACACTGTCTCCACCTGCACTTCTTATGTTCCAGTTATAACACTGTATATATTTGCTCTTCTTATGTTCCAGTTATAACGCTGTCTATATTTGCACTTCTTATGTTCCAGTTATAACACTGTCTTCATCTGTACTTCTAATGTTCCAGTTATAACACTGTCTCCATCTGCCACTTATAATGTTCCTGTTATAACATTATCTACATCTGTATTTCTAATGTTCCAGTTATAACACTGTCTACATCTACACTTCTAATGTTCCAGTTATAACACTGTCTATATTTGCTATTCTAATGTTCCAGTTATAACACTGTCTCCACCTGCACTTCTTATGTTCCAGTTATAACACTGTCTATATTTGCACTTCTAATGTTCCAGTTATAACACTGTCTATATTTGCTATTCTAATGTTCCAGTTATAACACTGTCTCCACCTGCACTTCTTATGTTCCAGTTATAACACTGTATATATTTGCACTTCTTATGTTCCAGTTATAACGCTGTCTATATTTGCACTTCTTATGTTCCAGTTATAACACTGTCTTCATCTGTACTTCTAATGTTCCAGTTATAACACTGTCTCCACCTGCACTTCTTATGTTCCAGTTATAACACTGTCTATATTTGCACTTTTAATGTTCCAGTTATAACACTGTCTATATTTGCACTTCTAATGTTCCAGTTATAACACTGTCTCCACCTGCACTTCTAATGTTCCAGTTATATCACTATCTACATCTGTATTTCTAATGTTCCAGTTATAACACCATCTACATCTGCACTTCTGATGTACCTGTCATAACACTGTCTACATCTGTATTTCTAATGTTCCAATTTATAACACCATCATCTACATCTGTACTTCTAATGTTCCAGTTAGAAAAAATGTCTACATCTACACTTCTAATGTTCCAGTTATAACACTGTCTACATCTGTATTTCTAATGTTCCAGTTATATCAACATCTACATCTGTATTTCTAATGTTCCAGTTATAACACTGTCTCCACCTGCACTTCTTATGTTCCAGTTATAACACTGTCTATATTTGCACTTCTAATGTTCCAGTTATAACACTGTCTATATTTGCACTTCTAATGTTCCAGTTATAACACTGTCTCATATTTGCACTTCTAATGTTCCAGTTATAACACTGTCTATATTTGCACTTCTAATGTTCCAGTAATAACACTATCTACATCTGTACTTCTAATGTTCCAGTTATAACACTGTTCCACCTGCACTTCTAATGTTCCAGTTATAACACTGTCTACATCTGTATTTCTAATGTTCCTGTTATATCACCATCTACATCTGTATTTCTAATGTTCCAGTTATAACACTGTCTACATCTACACTTCTAATGTTCCAGTTATAACACTGTCTATATTTGCTATTCTAATGTTCCAGTTATAACACTGTCTCCACCTGCACTTCTTATGTTCCAGTTATAACACTGTCTATATTTGCACTTCTAATGTTCCAGTTATAACACTGTCTATATTTGCTATTCTAATGTTCCAGTTATAACACTGTCTCCACCTGCACTTCTTATGTTCCAGTTATAACACTGTCTATATTTGCACTTCTAATGTTCCAGTTATAACACTGTCTATATTTGCACTTCTAATGTTCCAGTTATAACACTGTCTACATCTGCACTTCTAATGTTCCAGTTATAACACTGTCTCCACCTGCACTTCTTATGTTCCAGTTATAACGCTGTCTATATTTGCACTTCTTATGTTCCAGTTATAACACTGTCTTCATCTGTACTTCTAATGTTCCAGTTATAACACTGTCTCCACCTGCACTTCTTATGTTCCAGTTATAACACTGTCTATATTTGCACTTCTAATGTTCCAGTAATAACACTGTCTTCATCTGTACTTCTAATGTTCCAGTTATAACACTGTCTCCACTCTCCACTTATAATGGTCCTGTTATAACATCATCTATATCTGTATTTCTTATGTTCCAGTTATAACACCATCTACATCTGCACTTCTAATGTTCCACTTATAACACTGTCTCCACCTGCACTTCTAATGTTCCAGCTATAACACTGTCTATATTTGCACTTCTAATATTCCAGTTATATCACCATCTACATCTGTATTTCTAATGTTCCAGTTATAACACTGTCTACATCTACACTTCTAATGTTCCAGTTATAACACTGTCTATATTTGCTATTCTAATGTTCCAGTTATAACAATGTCTCCACCTTCACTTCTTATGTTCCAGTTATAACACTGTCTCCACCTGCACTTGTAATGTTCCAGTTATATCACTATCTACATCTGTATTTCTAATGTTCCAGTTATAACACCATCTACATCTGCACTTCTAATGTTCCAGTTATAACACTGTCTCCACCTGCACTTCTTATGTTCCAGTTATAACACTGTTTATATTTGCTTTTCTAATGTTCCAGTTATAACACTGTCTATATTTTGCACTTATAATGTTCCAGTAATAACACTGTCTCCACCTGCACTTCTTATGTTCCAGTTATAACACTGTCTATATTTGCACTTCTAATGTTCCAGTTATAACACTGTCTCCACCTGCACTTCTTATGTTCCAGTTATAACACTGTCTATATTTGCCTATTTCTAATGTTCCAGTTATAACACTGTCTACACCCTGCACTTCTAATGTTCCGCAGTTATAACACTGTCTATATTTGCACTTCTAATGTTCCCAGTTATAGCACACTGTCTATATTTGCACTTCTAATGTTCCAGTTATAACCTGCACTGTTCTTACATCTGTATTTGCTATTCTAATGTTCCAGTTATAACACTGTCTCCCACCCACTGTCCACTTATAATGGTCCAAAGTTATAACATTATCTGTGCTACATCTGTATTTCTTATGTTCCAGTTATAACACTGTCTGCACATCTACACTTCTAATGTTCCCAGTTATAACACTGTATAATGTTCCAGCACTGTCTACCTGCATTATTTGCTATTTGCATTCTAATGTTCCAGTTATAACACTGTCTCCACCTTGCACTTCTTATGTTCCAGTTATAACACTGTTTATATTTGCACTTTTCTAATGTTCCAAGTTATAACACTGTCTATGTTGCACTTCTAATGTTCCAGTAATAACACTGTCTATATATTTGCACTTCTAATGTTCCAGTTATAACACTGTCTACATCTGCACTTCTAATGTTCCAGTTATATAACACTGTATATATTTGCACTTCTTATGTTCCAGTTATAACACTGTCTATATTTGCACTTCCTAATGTTCCAGTTATAACACTGTGTATCATCTGTACTTCTAATGTTCCAGTTATAACACTGTCTCCACCTGCACTTCTTATGTTCCAGTTATAACACTGTCTATATTTGCACTTCTCCAATGTTCCAGTTATAACACTGTCTAATATTTAGTTACTTCTAATGTTCCAGTTATAACACTGTTCCACCTGCACTTATATGTCCCAGTTATATCACTGTCTCCACCTGTCTTTCTGCATGTTCCATTTCCTAATGTTCCACCTTTCTTTCCTTCCATCTGTACTTCCCTAATATTCCATCTACATCCACTTCTATATTCCAGTTATTTCCTCCTTATTTCTATGTTCCAGTTACTCCTCCATCTACATCTATTTCCTTCCAGTTATAACTGTCTCCACCTACTTATGTTCCAGTTATCTATATTTCTATGTTCCAGTTTTCTTTACTGTCTATATTTTCTATGTTCCAGTTATTTGTCTATTTTCCAGATTTTCTTTACTGTCCTTCCTATTTCCATGCCTCCATCCATATTTCCAGTTATACTGTCTCCACTGTGTTCCAGTTATGCTGTCTTTCATCTGTATTTCTATGTTCCTGTTATATCACCATCTACATCCTGTGTTTCCATGTTCCAGTTTTCCTGTCTGTCCTTCCATTCCAGTTATGCCTGTCTATTTTATATTTCCTGTCTCCATGTTCCGGTTGTGTCTGTGTTCCGTTCTTTGTGTGTTCCAGTTCTCTCCATTCCAGTTCTTTTTGTCTTGTGTTCCTGTCTGTGTGTTCAGTTGTCTTTGGGATTATGCTGTCTCCACTTCTTGTTCCGGGTCCTTTCTTGCTGTCTATTTTCTGTCCTGCTGTCTTCCTCTGTGCTTCCTGTGTTCCTGTCTCCGGGTTGTCTGTGTGTCTTCATCTGTGTGTGTTCCGGTCTCCTGTGGTCCTGTGTCTGTCTGTGTGTCTCTTCCTGTGTGCTGTCTCCTTGTGTTGTCTCGGGTCTCACCATCTGTGTGTGTTCCGGTTATGTTCCTGTCTGTGTTCCTGTGTCTCCTGTCTCCATGTGTTCCGGTTATCCTTGTCTGTATTTCCTGTGTTCCGGTCATCCTTCTGTGTTCCGGTTCTGTCTCCACCTTGTGTTTATGTGTGTTCCAGTTGTGTCACTGTGTCTCCACCTTCTTGCTCAGTTCCGGGTTATGCCACTGTCTTCTAATGTTCAGTTATGCCACTGTCTGTTATTATTCCATGTTCCGGGATTCTGTCTCCACCTTCTTTCTTTTCTGTGCACTTCTTGTGTTCAGTTATTTTTGCTGTCTCTGTTCTGTGTTCCGGGATTCTGTCTTCATCTGTGTGGTTCCGGGTTGTCTCCGGTCCTGTCTGTGTGTTGTGTTCCGGGTCTCACTGTCTCCACCATTTCCTGTGTCTGTGTGTTCCGGTCCTCCACCTGCATGTGTTCCAGTTGTCTGTGTTCCTGTCTTCATCCTTCCTGTGTTCCAGTTCTTCCTGTCTCCACCTTCTTGTCTTCGGGATTCTGTCCTTGATTGTCATTCCAGTTGTCTGTGTGTTCGGGTCCTGCCACTGTCTCCTTCTTGTGTTCCTGTCTTCCAGTTCTGTCTGTGTGTTCCGGTCCTGTCTTCATCTGTGCTTCCTGTGTTCCGGGTTGTCTGTGTTCCGGGTCCTCTGTCCTCAGTTCCACTGTCTGTGTCTTCCAGTTGTCTTCCTGTCTCCACCTTCTTGTGTTCCGGGTCCTGTCTGTCGGATTTTTCCTCCTCCACTTATGTTTCCAGTTCTGTCTGTGTGTTCCAGTTATGCCTGTCTCTGTGTTCCTGTCTGTATGTCTGTGTTCCGGGTCCTGTCTGTGTTGTGTTCCGGTCCTGCTGTCTCCACCTGTGTTCCGGTTGTGTGTTCCGGTCCTGTCCTCCACCTCCTCCTGTTCCTTGTGTTCATCTTCCTGGTCTATGTTCCGGATTCTTTGTCTACATCTTGTGTGTTGGGTTATGTCTATGTTCCATTCCATGCTCACCTGTGTGTTCACTGTCTGTGTTCCAGTCTCTCCACTGTGTTCCGGTTCCGGGGTCCTGTGCTCCTGTTGTGTTCGTCTGTGTTTCTTGTTCCAGTTCTCATCATCTGCATGTTCCAGTTATGCTGCCACTGTCTCCACCTGCACTTCTAATGTTCCAGTTATGTCCACTGTCACCATCTGTGTTTCCTAATGTTCAGTTATAACACCATCTACATCTGCACTTCTGATTATTGCCTGTCTGTACTGTCTACATCTGTGTTGTTTCCACAATGTTTCCACTTATGGCACAAATACGTCTGTTATTTCCTAATGTTCCCGGTTATGTCACTGTCACGTCTGTGTTTCCTAGTAGTTCCGGTTCATAACACTGTCTGCATCCACCTTCTGTGTTCAGTTATAACACAGTCTACATCTGTGCTTCTAATGTTCAGTTAAGAAATGTCTACATCTGCTTCTAATGTTCCAGTTATGCACTGTCCATCTGTATTTCCTAATATTCCAGTTATATCCACCCCATCTACATCTATATTTCCTAATATTTCCATTCTTTCTACATCTACTATGTTGATTTTCACTATCTCCACCTACTATGTTCCAATTTTTTATCTATATTTCCAATTTTCACTATCTATATTTCCAGTTATATTTCACTAATATTCCATTCTTCTTTCTACATCTTCCTAATATTTCCAGATTCTTTCCATATTTCACTTCTAATATTTCCAGTTTTCACTGTCTCCACCTTCTATCTTCACTACCCTCTTCCTTCCAATGTTCCAGTTATACTGTCTCCTCCACCTCCACTATTTTCTTTCATCTACATCTGTATTTCTTATATTTCCAATTTTCTGTTCACTGTCTATTTTCATATTTCCAGTTATATTTTTCCATCTGTCATCCTTCCTTCCATATTCCACTATTCTATTTATTCTATGTTCCATCTGTATATCTATTCCACTTATCTCCATTTATCATTTCCATTTATACCACCTTCTTCATATTTCCACTGTCTCATATTTTTCTATATGTTCCTTTGGTTATGTCTTCATCTTCCTATGTTCCGTTATCTTTCATCCACCTTGGTCCTTGTTCTCATCTACAGCTGTGTCTCTGTGTTCCGGTCCTTTGTCTCCACCTTCCTGTGTTCCAGTTGTCTCCACTGCTTGTGTTTCCTGTGTTGTTGGTCTACGTCCTGTATTTCCTATGTATTTCCGGTTATGTCTCCATCTGTTCCATTCCTGTCTTTCTTTGTCTGTGCCTGTGTTCCGGGGTTGTCTGTGTGTCTCCACCTTCCTGTGTCCTGTCCTGTCTGTGTTCCAGTGTCCGGTCTCACCATCCTGTGTGTTCCTGTCTCCTTCTGTGTTCCGGTCCATCCTGTGTTCCGGTTGTCTGTCCGGTCCTCCATCCTTATTTCCTGTGTTCCGTTTTTCCTTGTGTTCCTTGTGTTCCTGTCTGTTCCATGCCTCCTTGTCTGTGTTCCGGTTATATTTCCTGTGTGTCTCTGTGTTCGGTCCTTCCTGTGTTCCTGCCTGTCTCCATTCTGTGTTCCGTCTGTGTTTCCGGGGTCCTCTACAGTTCCTATGTTCCGTTTTTCCTCCATCCTGTGTGATTTCCTTTTCAGTGTGTCCTGTCTGTGTCTCCATCTGTGATTTCCATGTCTGTGTTCCATCTTCATGTGTCCTCCTTCTCCTTGTGTGTGTATTCGGTCCAGTTACTGTCCATATGTCCTTGTGTTCGTTCCTGTCCTTCATCTGTGTGTTCCGGGTCCTGCCTCCTTCTCCTGTGTATTTCCTCCATGCACTGTCTGTATTTCCTGTCTCCACCTTCTGTATTTCCGTCTCTACATCTGTGTTCCTAATGTTCCAGTTGTCTGTGTCATTTCATGTCTGTGTATGTCCTTATGTTCCTGTCTGTGTGTGTGTGTGTCCGGGTTATTCTGTATTTCCATCTTATGTTCCACTGTGTTCCGTTTTCCTGTCTGTGTGTCCTGTCCAGTGGGATTGTCTCCACCTGTCTTGTTGCACTTCTAGTTTTTCAGTTGTCTGTGCATGTCCAGTGTTCTCTGTGTTCCAGTCTGTGTGTTGTCTATGTTGCACTTCCTAATGTTCCAGTTCTGCCATCCTACATCTGTTGTATCTAATGTTCAGGTCCTCTTCTATGTTTGCACTTCTGTGTTCCCGGATTATAGCCATTGTCTCCACCTGCACTTCTTATGTTCCAGAGTTATGCTTGCCTCCCACCTTGTATTCTGGTTCCGGTCTGTCTTACTGTCTCCGGTGCTGTCTGTAACTGCTGTTCCGGTTATGTCTTCTGTGTTGTGTTTCTACCTTATGTTCCTGTTATAGCCACTTGTCTTCATCCTTGTTTCTTCATGTTTGCAGTTATAACACTGTCTACATTTGCACTTCTAATGTGTTCCATATAACACTGTCTCCACCTGCACTTCTAATGTTCAGTTATAACACTGTCTACATCTGCATTTTATAATGTTCCAGTTATAACTTACTGTCTCTATGTGCTCTTCAGATTGTGCTTGTCATCGTGTTCTCGTCATCTGTTTCTGATGTTTCCTTACCTGCTCCCACTTCCATCTATGATTTTCCAGATTATATCACTATCTACATCTGTCATTTCCTAATGTTCCGGTTATAACACCATCTTCATGCATCTTCCAGCTTCCTGTTATATTTGGTCATTCAGCATCTGTATTTCCTAGTTCTTTCAGTTGGTATACTTACTGTCTATATCCACCCTTCCTAATGTTCCAGTTATAACACTGTCTCCACATCTACCGCTTCTAATGTTCAGTTATAGCACTGTCTACATCCTGTATTTCTAATGTTCCAGTTTATCACCAACATCTACATCTGTATTTCCTAATGTTCCAGTTATAACACTGTCTCCACCTGCACTTCTTATGTTCCGGTTATAACTTACTGTCTATATTTGCTATTCTAATGTTCCCGGATTATAACACTGTCTATGTTGCACTTATAATGTTCGAGTTATAACACTGTCTCCACCACTGCACTTCTTGTGTTCCCGAAGTTAATAACACTGTCTATATTTGCACTTCCTATTGAGAGTTATAACACTGTCTCTATATTTATTATTCTAATATTTCAGTTATACTTACTGTCTCCACCTGCACTTCCTAATGTTCCAGTTATATCACGCATGTATGTATTTTACCTTCATTCCAATTCCTCTATATTTATATTTCCAATTCTTCATCTACTTCCTAATATTCCATCCTTTATCTACTATTCCATTTTTCTTATATTTCCATATTTCTAATATTCCAATTCCTATCTCCATTTACTATTCCATCATTCCAGTTCTTTACTGTCCTGTTCATTCCATTATCTCCACCTACCTTATGTTCCATTCTGTCTATATTTCCACTGTCTAATATTCCAGTTCACTAACACTCATCTTCCATCTTCCTCATGTTCCAGTTATCTCCACCTACTATGTTCCATTCTTTATCTATATTTTTATTATATTCCATTCTTTATCTATATTTTAACCATGTTCCAGTTACTCTTTTTCCTCCTAATATTTCCAGTTATTTTCCTCTCTCCACCACTTCTAATATTTCCAGTTATCTGTCTATTCTATTTCCAGATTCCATCACTGTTCTCCACCTGTCCTTTTCATATTTCCAGTTCTCACTGTCTCCACCTGCTATGTTCCAGTTATTTTCCACTGTCTATATTTGCATTTCTATTCCAGTTATCTCCACCTACTTCTTATGTTCCAGTTACTTTTTTCTTTATATTTGCTTTCTATATTCCGGTTATCCTGTTGTTCCAGTTTTCTTTGTCTCCTTCTTATGTTCCAGTTATGCTGTCTGTTCCATTCCGTTGTCTCCACTGCATGTTCCAGTTATTTCTATGTTCCTTCTGTTGTGTGTTCCAGGTCCTGTCTCCACCTTCCTTGTGTTCCTCCATGTTCCAGTTGTCTGTGTCCACTGTATGTTCCGGGTTGTCTCCTGTCTCCTTGTGTTCCTGTCTGTTCCAGTTATATTCCTTCCTATGTTCCGGTCCTGTCTCCACTGTGTTCCAGGTTGTCTGTCTGTGTGTGTTCCGTCTGGTCTGTTCCACCTTCCTGTGCTTCCTGTGTTCCGGTCCTTCCTGTGTTCCGGTTGTCTGTGTTCCTGTGTTCCCGGGTCTGTCTGTGTTCCTGTCTCCACCTTCTGTCTTCGGGTCCTGCCTGTCTGTGTTCCGATTGTGTGTTCCAGGTCCTCTGTCTCTCAGTGTCTGTGCTTCTAATCAGTTCCAGTTCTGCTGTCTCCACCTTCTGTCGTTTCCGGGATAACACTGTCTACGTCTGTGTTTCTAATGTTCCTGTTGTGTCACCATCTACATCTGTGTTTCCTAATGTTTCAGTTCTGTCCTTCTAATGTTCCAGTTATATGTACTGTCTATATTTGCTGATTCTAATGTTGCTGGTTTATAACCCCACTGTCCTCATACCTGCACTTCTTCTTATGTTCCGGTTATAACTTGCTGTCTATGTTTTGCGCTTCTAATCTGTTCCAGTTATAGCACTGTCTCTATCCTGGCTACTTCCTAGTGTTCCAGTTATAACACTGTCTCCACCTGCACTTCTTATGTTCCGGTTATAACCGCTGTCTATATTTGTTGCTTATTCCTAATGTTCCAGTTATGCCCACTGTCTATATTTTCACTTCCTAATGTTCCATTTATAACACTGTCTTCATCTGTACTTCTCATGTTCCAGTTATAACACTGTCTCCACCTGCACTTCTTGTGTTCCAGTTATAGCACTGTCTATGTTGCTATTCTTAATGTTTCCAGTTATAGCACTGTCTTCATCTGTGCTTCTAATGTTTCAGTTTATAACACTGTCTCCACCTGCTTCTTCTTGTGTTCCAGTTATAGCACTGTCTATATTTGCACTTCTAATGTTCCAGTAATATTTACTGTCTTCATCTGTACTTCTAATGTTCAGTTATAACACTGTCTCCACCTCCACTTATAATGGTCCTGTTATAACATCATCTATATCTGTATTTCTTATGTTCCAGATTATAACTTACCATCTACATCTTGCCGCGCTCTTCCGTGTTCCACTTATAACACTGTCTCCACCTGCACTTCTATTGTTCAGCTATAACCACTGTGTCTATGTTTACTTCTAATATTCAGGTTATATCACCATCTACGTAATTTGCATTTTCTAATGTTCCGAGGATTATAGCACTGTCTACATCTACACTTCTAATGTTCAGTTATAACACTGTATCTATATTTGCTATTCTAATGTTCCAGTTATAACACTGTCTCCACCTGCCTTCTTATGTTTCTTATAACCTGTATCTATGTTGCGCTTCTAATGTTCAGTTATAGCACTGTCTCCCACCTGCACTTCGCGCCTAATGTTCCAGTTATATCACTATCTCCACCTGCACTCTTATATTTCTAATGTTCCCTATGTTGCATTATAACGTTCCATCTATGCCTTGTCTGCACCTTTCTAATGTTCCAGTTCGCATAGCACTGTCTCCGCACTGCACTTCTTACATGTTCCGAGTTATATAGCACTGTCTATATTTGCACTTCTAATGTTCCGAGCTATAACACTGTCTATATTTATTATTGCCTAATGTTCAGTTATAACACTGTCTCCACCTGCGCTTCTTATGTTCCGGTTATAGCACTGTCTATATTCTGCACTTCAATGTTCCGGTTATAGCACTGTCATATATATTTATTATTTCAATGTTCAGGTTTATAACACTGTCTCCACCTGCACTTCTTATGTTCCAGTTATAACACTGTATCCACCTGCACTTCTTATGTTCCAGTTATAGCGCTGTCTATGTTTGCACTTTGCTTCTAGCATGTTCCGGATTATAACACTGTCTTCATCTGTACTTCTAATGTTCCAGATTATAACACTGTCTCCACCTGCACTTCTTATGTTTCAGATTATAACACTTTGTCTATATTTGTTATTCCTAAATGTTCCGAGTTATAACCTGTTCATCTACATCCTGCATTTCTAATGTTCCGAGTTATATTTACTGTCTATATTTGTATTTCCTAATGTTCCACTTATGACACTGTATCCACATCTGCACTTCTTATGTTCCAGTTATAACACTGTCTATGTCTGCTATTCCTAATGGTTCAGTTTGGCATAGCATACCATCTGTCTTTCTAATGTTCCAGTTATATCAACATCTACATCTGTATTTCTAATGTTCCAGTTATAACACTGTCTCCACCTGCACTTCTTATGTTCCGGATTTATAGCACTGTATCTATATTTGCACTTGTTATGTTCCGGATTATAACACTGTCTATATTTGCACTTTTAATGTTCCAGTTATAACACTGTCTATATTGCACTTCTAATGTTCCAGTTATACTTACTATCTATATTTGCACTTCCGAATGTTCAGTAACATAATGTCTCCACCTGCGCCTCTTAATGTTTCCCGAAGCTATACTTACTGTCTATATTTGCACTTCCTAATGTTTTGAGTAATAACACTGTCTTCATCTGTACATTTCCTAATGTTCCTGTTATATCACCATCTACATCTGTATTTCCTAATGTTCCAGTTATAGCACTGTCACCCATCTACACTTCTAATGTTCCAGGTTTATAACACTGTCTATAATTTGCTATTCTCAATGTTGCCGGATTATAACACTGTCTCCACCTTCACTTCTTGTATGTTCCAGTTATAACACTGTCTCCACCTTTGCACTCCAGTTCTAACCACTATCTCGGTTCCAGTTATCACTATCTCCACCACCTTATATTTCTAGATTCTTTCCAATATCTCCTTTCCATTCCAGTTATCTAATTCATTCCAGATTCTGCTACTATCTCCATCCTGGCCACTACTTATGTTCCAGTTATACTTTTCCACCACCATATTTCCACTTTTACCTAATGTTCCAGTTCACTAACCATGTTCTAGTTATGTCTATGCTTATAATGTTCCAGTTATAACACTGTCTCCACCTGCACTTCTTATGTTCCAGTTACCACTTACTGTCTATAATATTGCGCCTTTATGTTCATCAGTACTTCTATATTTCCGTTCTGTCTCTCCACCTGCACTTCTTATGTTCCAGTTATAACACTGTCTATATTGCACTTCTAATGTTCCAGTTATAACACTGTCTATATTTATTATTCTAATGTCTCC